ACACATTCAAGACTAATGTTGATGGTACCGTGGCTTGTCACAAAACTCGTCTTGTTGCTCAAGGGTTTAGTCAAGAATATGGTCTTGATTATACCGAAACTTTTAGCCCAGTTGTCAAGCAACCCACCATTCGGGTAGTTCTTTCAATGGCATTACACTTCGACTGCCCCATTCGCCAACTCAATGTATCTAATGCCTTTTTACATGATTTCTTGGACGACGAAGTATACATGATCCAACCACAAGGTTTTATTGATCAAACTCAGCCCATTTATGTTTGCATATTACGAAAGGTTATCTACGGCTTAAAATAGGCACCACGTGCGTGGTTTGAAACTCTATCAAAAATTTTGATATCCCTTGGCTTTTGTACTAGTTTGGCAGATAGTTCTTTATTTGTCAATACACATTCTAGTAGAGTTACTGTGGTTTTGATATATGTGGACGATATTCTTATTATTGGAAGTGACAAATCATTTGTGGATTCGGTTATTCAAAAACTATGCACTTAATCTAGCACGAAAGATCTGGGACTTCTTAATTATTTTTTGGGTCTAGAGGTTACAAGGACATCCTCCTCCATTTCACTTTCTCAGTCCAAGTATGCCTTGGCACTCTTTGATCGTGCTTCAGTGTGTGATTGCAAGCCATACTCCTCACCAATGTCCACCAAATTTTCTGCTGGACCTACTGATGAAGCTGTGTTTCATGATCCACATCTTTATCGAACTCTTGTTGGTGGTTTACAGTATCTCAACATTTCTCGCCCTGATTTGTCATTTGCCATCAATAAAGTGTGCCAACATATGCATCATCCACTCAATAAACATTTCACGGCTGTCAAGTGCATTCTTCGTTATTTCAAAGGCACTATTCACCATGCTTTGAAATTTACCACTGGGTCCCTTGATCTTATAGCTTATTCTGATGTAGACTGGGCTGTCGACTCCATTGATCATCGTTCCACTACAGGATATTGTCTCTTTCTTGGCTCGAATTTGATTACCTGGTGTGCAAAAAAAAACAACCTACAGTGGCTCGATCTTCCACGGAGGTGGAGTATCGTGCACTTGCTCAAACAACTGCTGACATCACCTGGCTCACAATGCTTCTTCATGACCTTCGCCTTCACACCTATCTTATGGTGTGACAACATTTATGCTATTTCACTTGCATGTAATCCAGTTTTTCATGTCTGAACGAAGCACGTAGAAGTTGACTATCACTTCATTCGTGAAAAAGTTGTTCAAAGACACATTGAAGTTTGTCATGTTTCCACCATTGTCCAACTGATCGGTATTTTTACCAAACCTTTACCAATTCAACGGTTCAATTTTCTGAAGTCCAAGCTGATGTTGGCTGATATACCACATCAACTTGAGGGGGCACATAAGAATAACCAGCCAGATTTTTAGCTTATGCTAGATATTCGTCAAGATCATGTGCTGCTAGAGTTATAGGTTATCTAGTCTTCTATTCAAATAGTTTATGTTTGAGTTTTGTATTTCAAATAGGTTGTTATCTTTTTGGCTTATCCTTTGGATATTATAAATAATAGATGCTTGGACTCTCCAGATTATGGAAGTCAATGCCTTTTAGCAAATCATTCTGTTTTTAACTTATCATCACTGTTAACAACGACCCAACCCAACAACAAAAAAAACCCATACTTATCTTTCCTCTCATCTAATGGTGTTTAGACTACCTTCGCAGAACAAAAACAGCCACAATCATTGATTTGTGAACAAACCCATCAACGAGCAAGAGGGTTTCTATGAATCTTGAATGCAAAAACAACACAAACAATCGAGAAAACTATTGGAAACTCAATGCACATGCATGCTATGTCAGGAGTCCGGCCACCTATGATTTTCTCGGTCGAAAATAATGGCAGAACCACCGGTGGTGCGAAGAAGTCACCACCATAGACAGTTTAATCAAGAATGGAGCCAACACCGTGGACTTCCATGGTTGAGTTTAGGTAGATATTTGGGTGAGCGATGATAGAATCGTCAATGGTGAGGGCAGATAGATCGCCATGGCTGAGTTTAGAAGAGAAGATTGGCTTATTGTTGAGGGCAATAATGTCAAATGACAGGCTATTCCTTCTGTGGCTTCATTCGGGGAGATGAATCCCACATGCGTGGTGGGTTTCATTTATCCAATTCAGAGGGGATAAGTGCACTGAATTCCTATGGCCCAAGTAATTACTCCCCAACATTGATCCCGTTGCATTTTCTAGATCCAAAGTTGTGTTTTGTGGCCCTTGAATTATATTAGTGAAAATTGGAAGTGATTTTCCTAAACGTACATGTTTGAAAATAAGTCTTACAAAAAAATTTATAAGTGGCTAACTCCATATTTAAAATTATATGTAGTGACTTAAGTCCATTTTTTTTATTTCAAAAATACTCTTCCTTGAAAGGAAGTTAATCTTTTCTCTCTCATATTTATCTATATCCATATATAGGTTAAAAGTTTGACTAACATTAAAATTTTTCCTCTCTCTTCTATCTATATATATATATAATAACATTAAAAAAAATAGTAACATTCAAATACAAAAAAAAAAAAATTTACTATAAATTTGAATAGTAAAATTCAAATTCATGTTACTATTTTTTTTTTGAATATTACTATTTTTTGTATTTGAATTGTACTATTTTTTGCGATTGAATTTGAGAAAAATAATTATTGTTAAGTATGTTACAGTTTTTGTTAAATATGTTACTATCTTTGGTGAACATGTTAATATTTTTGTTGAATATGTTACTGTTGTTATTTTTTAAAAATATTAATATTGAATGTTTCAATTTTTTGTATGTTTAAATGTTACTATTTTTTTGTATTCAAATGTATTATTTTTTGTATCCAAATGATAACTTTTTTTTGTATTTGAAATGTTACTATTTTTAATTTTTAATTTTACTATATATATACTATATATAGATAGATAAGAGAGAGAAAATTTTTAATATTAGTTTAACTCTTAACCTATATATGAATATAAATAGATATGAGAGATAAAAGATTTTAATGTTAGTCAAACTTTTAAAATTTAAAAGTTTTTAATTTTTAATTTTATTACACTTTTAAAGGGAAGGAATAATATGATTAAATTGACAAAAAATAGACCGAACCCCAAATTTCTTATTATATTATCCGATACTTGTCTTATCCCTTTTTTTCAATTGGATCAAATCAAACATCCCGCATCTGACAAACATACACATGCATGTGTGGTCTATGATTGGGATTTTGGGACGAAAAGCAAACCAAACCAAAAAAAACAAAAATCCTAAGAGGATTTGGTGAGCCGCTTGGCGTGCATATGGGTTCTCTCATTAACCATCATCTGTCCGGATAACCTTTATGCTCACTATCTCAATGTGGACCATTTGACATAAAAAGTGTGTACAAAATTACCAACAGTCATCGAATCACTGTGTTTCATTATTAATTTTATAGTTACAGATAGATGATTTGGTGCGCATAATTTTATCTTTTAATTAATAGATCACGCTAAATATGTTATATACCTAATAATTATGATTATGTCACGTTGAGTTATAAAAGTTGAATAATATTATTGTAATCTAATATGATGAGATGTAATTTAATTGAACCATTGGGTTGACGTGACCCATTTATGTGCTTGGTTCAGTATGAACTGGAATCAGCCAATCGGACTTATTTAATGGTATGATAGAATAATAACTCAATTACACATAACATGAGTCTTATAGTACATAATATGGATATAAATCCAATAAATATACGACAATACATAAAAAAAAATTAAATGTAAACTAAACTAAACAAATTTTAACATAAAAAATGTTATGCATACTAAAACTTTTATCAAAAAATATTTTTATCAAATGAGTTGTCCACGCTCGTGGACTCGCCAAATGTTTGAACAAAATATTTTTAATTGGATATAGAATTGCCAACTTACTTGGTCAAATCACTTTACCCACCTGTCCCTTAGTCAAGTTCCATGAAATTTCCCATCTCCTTCTTACCATTTTCATTCTCTTTCCTTCACTTTCATTCAGCCTCTATATAAATAAAGGGAGAGAAAATTTCAAGTTGAATATTTTCTCCTAAAACTGATGGCAAAAAGCTGCATAACCAATCAGAAATGTCCGTCAATGTCTCTAGTAGCTACGTACCCTTCAATTTTCTCTTATAGTTCTATTGGATTCAATCAATTATTCTAGGGAATTTCTTTGATTTTGACATGAAACTTGTGTGACGAGCCCATGTTCTTTCTGCTGCTGACATGGGTATTCTTCTATTTTTTTGATTTTTTTTTCTTTATATCAGGCAAGCTTTGAATGAAGAAGGCAAGAACTATAGCAGATGATCAGTCATCTATAGAAGCTACCCAGACAGTTTTTCTTTGTCAAAATGGCTGGAATGCTTCGCGGGGTTGAATGTGCTAGAAGAAGACGGTTTCATCAGAGCGGTGCTTTTTCAGCTCCACCTACTACGTCTGCAGCCCATGCCTCCCCAAGGCGGTCATCGTTTTGTTTGTACACAACCAACCATGAATTCCATCTCACTTCATTTTCTTCCATGGTACTATATATCAAACCACATTTCTCTCTGTCTCTCTAGATCTACATATATGTGAATGCGTTTCACTAAAATTTGGCAGAATATTACAAACAGCAGAGAATTACGCTGAACCAGGAATATCTGAATGAGAAGCTAGCAGAAGTGGCTAGAGAAGCCAAAGAAAGGTTAGATGAGAAGCTAAAAGCACAAAGGAAATTAGATACCAAAAGGTAAGGGTGAATTTTTTAAAAAAATTTCCCTTCTGTTGCATGCCAACCGAAATTTAGTAGAGTTGGTAATAAATCTGTCATATATATTACATGTACAACTTGTGCAAGTTGTCATATCAAAATCTGCATCTTTCATTCAACCCATTTATGGTCATTTATATATATATAAATTATGTTTAACTAGATTCATGTCAATCCATTTTTCAAATGGGTATAACAAATCAAACATGTTTATGATTATAACAATCAAAAGAAAAATAATTATCAAATCATGTTAAGAATTGACAACTTTCATTTTTAGAAATCCTTCATACCATCGGCCTTTTTGATTTTTTTTTAATTATGAGAGAATATAATTGACGAACACTCGAAATGATCATCTTTTCAACTTACATTTACTACCAGTTCAAAAAAAAAAACAACTAATATTTACTGATTTTCACTTATGATTTGAGTTCAGGACTAACAGACAAAGAGATAAAGGGGTGGGGAGGGCAGGTCTATGGTGCTAGGGGATTTGAAAATAGAGGTGTTTGGAGTGAAGAGAGGATTGAAAAGGTTCAATTGGGCAAGGTTTGGGCAGAAAAAGGTCTTGGACCAGGAGGAGTGTGCAGTGTGCTTGGAGCAGTTCAAGGTGGGCGAGACCCTGGTGCGTTTGCCCTGCTCTCATCGGTTCCATTCAAGTTGTTTGGTTCCATGGCTAGAGAACAATGCTCATTGCCCTTGTTGCAGAATGGAGATTTTGGATTTAAAAAGTTAAATGATGTTCTTTGTTTTTTTCACTTTGTAGATACCCTACGATCCGAATGTACTTCTTGAAAAAAAGGGTCAATTCACGAGCCTCCCATCATGATTGGGAGGGTGAGGTGCACAGTTTTTATCCGAGAATATTTCTATGATTTAAATTTATATTTTTCATAATACCGTTAATTAAATTTTTTTTGTTCAACAAGGTCTTGTCTCTTAACGGGCCACTTACAAATAGAGTGAAAGTTGTAACGTTTAAAGAATGAAATAGACTAATTTTTTCTTTTCCTTTTGTTTGGGGGGGGGGGGGGGGGGGGGGGGGGTAAGGGTTGGGGTTGAGTTGTATTTCTTTAAACTGGCAACAGAGTTTTCATGCAAGAATATTAAGGAAAAGACAAGGTTCCATTGAATACTCCAAATTATGTAAGATGTCATGGCAATTAGTGCAATAATTGAAGAAACCAAATTGTAGTGGGACTATTTGGCTTTTGTAATTTTTTAGGAAGAAATATGGAGCTATGTAGGGTTGATAATCGAAATTGAGTCGAGCTCGTGAAATGAGCCGAGTCCAAGTAACTCGAGTATTTTATATATAAATAAATTTTTTAGGCTCATTTTCTAAATGGGTCAAAAAAATTATTCAAGCTCAACTCTTTTAGAAAACGAAATGAGCTGAACTTGAGTCAGGCTCGAGTACGAGTAACTTGACTTGATTATTAGTCTTGGAGCTATGGCGAAAATAATGTTGTTTGACTACAAAAAAGTGAAAAAAAAAAAAACAAAAGGTGCTAAGTTTTATACCAAAAAATGGTAACTAAATCCAAAAAAAAAAATACACACCTTAAAAATCAGTAAGCTGGTAAAATACCTAAAAAGGTGATTAGCATACTGATAATACAAAATACAAACTTATGCAAGATCAATAGTCGAATGAATGATGCTAGTAAATTAATGAGACAATTAATAAAGCAATCAATGACAAAAAGGTAAATATCGGGGCAACAAACGAATATATAGTAGTTTGGTCCCAGTGATCTACTCCACTCCGAAAAATGACAATGATGGCTGGAATACCTTTATTAATAAAGTAAGGTGAGAGGGAGAGAGAGAACAATAGTTAGCGTCGGAAGGAGGATGATAGCTAGGAGAGAAAAAAAATTATGTGATGGGTGTCTAGAGAGGTGCCATCTCATATAGAGAGAGCTTACAATTTATTGGCATGAAGCCCTTAGGAGAGGCGGTGACGTAAGGGTAAAGATAATAATTTTCCAGGGAGGATAGTTATAAAATATAAGTACAATTAAATGTTGTCTTGATCTTCGAGAGTGAGTGTCTCAATGATTACTTCCCACGTGTTCTAATTTTCTTGGACTCCTTGGACCTTGGGCTTACTTGATTTATTGGGCTTGACTCGGTTAGATTTGGGCTCATCATTTGTCTTGATTTGGCTGCTTGTTGCTTGGACGTTGGCTAGTGTTGGGCACTACCTTGGAGCAGGAGGCAATGCCAAGACCGGCTAGGTGATGCCCTTGGAACAGGCGACGATGCCAAGGATGCTATATGGTATGGGCGACATCATGGAGGACATAGGCAAAGCCAGAGAAAGGGAGTGCGCTGGGGTGTTGGTCGGAGTATCAGAAAGCCATGAAAAAATGGCAAAAATTTGAATGACCATAACTTTGCGCACGGTTGTCCGTTTGAGGCGATTTTTTTTTTTTTGAATCTGGGTATTTTTTAAGGTGGTTTGGGCACCAAATTTCTCCAAGAAATGCTTCATTCTCTCTCAATTTGAGTTTTAAACACAAATTAGTGAAATCGAAAGCGGTGGGAAGTTGTGCTCTGGTAGGCAGCTGTCAGGCATTCATGGGCGACGGATCGGCATTCTGGGTTTTGTCAAAGAGGGAGACTATGATGGCTTTCGACTAGGTAGGAGGCAAACCCGCTTTCTTCAATCCTGCTTTCTCCTTAATGCTTTCTTGATGCTAGTTCTTTATATTGACCTTGTCTCTAATTACAGGCAGCCTATTAATAGAGTGATGGTGGAGGCTCTCTATGCTTTTAGGGTGACGTCTTCCTTTCCTCCCAAGAGGGCGAGATTTGATACCCCCAATGCTTTTTAGCTGACGTCTAATGGCTAGGTTGCTTCTTGGGAACGGGATTTGGTGGTGCCCCCACTCCTTCCCAGACTATGACTCTTGTGTATATTAGAGCTAGCCCTTGTACTGCTGTGGGAGTTGAAACTCCAGTTCAGTCTTCAATAGGGACTGTAGCTTCTCATAGCTTCCCTACTTTTAGTAGTGGCTCGGTATCCATGTTTTGATGTGAATTTGGCCAAGGAGCAGCTTTGGAGGTCTGTGACTCCTGGAGATATCAGAAAGGTTGAATCTCGAGGTGCAGAGGGCATTATCAATACCGTGATGGAGGGGTCTTCCATGGTATGCCTTTCTTCTCAACTTTGATTTTGTACTCACCTACTTTCCTTCATGTTTTGCTTTTTGAATGCTTGTAGGTGGCTGTTGTTTTTCCCTGCCTTCTTTCAAGGACAATCACGCTTGGTGAGGAATCCTGGGATCTGTCAAAAAAAAGGCAGGCTTGGAGAGACTGCTGAGGAGCAATTGAGACTGGCTTATGAGAGAGTAACATCTCTTGAGGCCAACCTTTTGGCAGCTAGTGAGAAAGACGCTAAGTTGAAGATTGATGTTGCTTGAGAGTAGAGGTATGATTAGGTTGAGCTTTTTGGTGACTCATAAGAGAGCACGAAGCTAGAGACATAGATTGATTGAGAGTCGAGGTAGGATTAGGCCGAGTTTTTTGGTGACTCCCGAGAGAACTTGAAGCTGGATACATAGACTACTTTGGAGCAGAGGTAGGATTGGGCTGAGATTTTTAGTGACTCACGAGAGAGTGCGAAGCTGGAGACTAATAAGGTGACTGTTTGCGCGAGAACAGAGTCAGAGCTACGAGTGACCTACGAGAGGGCCACTGGAGCTAAGGTCGAGCTACGTATACCTCGGGAGAGGTTGTTGTGGTAGAGGCTCATTCCATTGAAATGAAGATGAGGATGGAGGCTGCTGAGAGGGCCATTGCAGACGCCTTTATTGATGGTTATGAAGAGCTTGACAACTTTCCCTGCTATTGATTTCTCTGGCTTCGTCCCATATGAGACACCAAGGGTAGATGGTGATGGGAGAGCCTTGATGATAGTGGCTCGGGGAGCAGTGACTAATCATCGGGAGTATGACGACTTTTATCTTTTTGTCTTTCTTATTGCTAGGTCATGTTCTGACATTTGTAAGCTATTTACAAGCTTTATGAAATGAAAACCAGATAGTTTTGGACACAATAATCTTCATAGTTTTATTTCATAAACTAATAAATAATATAATATATCAACTAAAACAATAACAAAAAGTAAAAATGAGATCCATCATCTTGTACCCGCTATTGATAATAGCTCTTCAGGTGTTCGACGTCCCATAGATGGGCCAAGGCTTTCCCATTTTCAGTGTGCTGTCATCCTTAGGGTCGAGCACTTCTACCTAGAGGATCTCTGGGATTTCTTGGTCCTTATAGAGACCACATAGCATTCTCTGACAATAACTTGGTATCCTTAGACTTCTCCGATCCAACAGAGAGTTGGAAAACGAAGAACAAGGTGATAGGTGGATGACATTGTCCTTAAGGTGTTGAGTGCAGGACGTCCAATTATGATGTTATATGTAGAGGGATAATCTAGTACAATGAAGTTCACCATGATTGTGGAGCTTTTTGGCGTTGTCCCTACATTGACTGGTAGGGTGATGGAATCCAAGGGATAAACCCTTTACCCCGAGAATCCAACAAGGGGTGTCATGATGGGTTACAGTCTTTCCCTGCCGAGGTAGATGCTTTCATAGGCTTGTGTAAACAGGATATCGACTAAACTGTCACTGTTGACCAGAATTTTCTTAACCTGTTAGTTGGCTACCATCATGGTTAAGACATGGGGATCATCGTAAGGGAGCTGGTTTCCCTTGAGATCCCTATCCGAGAAGGTGATGATCCCTTCTTTCCCATATCGGGGTGTCTTTGTCAGGCGAAAGTCATGTGACTCTACATGTTTGGCTTTCTTGGTGTGGGCTTTCCTAGCGGAATTGGAGTCACCTCCTTCTCCTCGCCCTCCAGAGATCGTTCGGATTTCTCCAAGGGGTTGTTGGTGTTCTCTGTCATCCTGGTCTCGGACAGGTGGCATGGCTTATCCTCTGCCAGTAACGTACTGCCTTAGTTAGCCACACTGTATGAGCTCCTCGATTTGCTTGTTGAGCTCATAACAGTCAACAGTGTCGTGACCATAGTCACGGTGTAAACGGTAGTACTTGCTCAAGTTTCTACGATTTGGGATAGACTTCATTTTTTCCAACCAACTTATCTCGTAGGATCATCCCAGATTTGGAGTAGGATATGCTTAACCGATGCATTGAAAGGCATAAAGGCTTGTCACTCTCTCAGAGGTGGCAGACTAAGGCAGTCCTTGACAGAGACTTTCTATGTTCTATTCTTCTTGTTCTCTACTTCTCTTCTATCTTCGTGGGGATCTTTTCTTGTCGGGGCTTTGGTGACATCCTCGACATTTACCATAATATTAGCATGGATAGACTGTCTTTGATTGAATCAGTGATGAAATTAATCGATGTACGCATAAACTAATCCGAATACTCTTAACTGTTAAACAAAAAAAAAACTATACAATGAAGGATCCACCAAGTCCCAATAAAAAAATTTGGTTATTTGTAAGGTAGATCCATGGAACACATGCAAATACAACAAAAATCACTTATCAATTCCATACAAAATCTATATCTATACTACTTCTAAATGTCACTATAACTGAAAACCTTTTGTTTGACTGAATTAGCCTTTGTAAAATAAAAAATGACAATACAATCTTCTTAAGTTAATAACTTCATGAATATTGATTGGAGTGGTAACAGTTACAAACTCTTTAGGTGAGCTGCTGAGCATCTATTTAAGCACATATATGAAATACCATTTGTTCAACTCTCGCTTTGCAAGTGAGACGGCTCGGATTCTGGTGGAATTCCTGGAGGTTGCCATCACTTCCATTGTTTTCCTCAAAGGAGTTTATCAGGTCTGAATCTCCACTTTCTTATCCAAAGTCCAAATCCCCTTTGTTTTTATACCCATTGTTCTACCCAGTTTGGTTGCTAAAAAAATATAGAGAAAACAACCGAAAAAATCAAGTCTTGTTTCATACAATTGTAGTGAATAATTATTTTGGTTTTCAGGAGTGTTTATATGTTTCACTTTGCTCACTTCCTCCCAATCACAAAGCCACATGAATTATAAAAAGATTCAAACTCTTCAGAATTCTATTATTTGTTAATTTTTTGTCGATTTTATCTATGACCAAGTGGTGGATGATTTCATGTGATGTGTTTCTCATATTTGAAAATGGTGGTGGGAAGCAGGTGCATTTGAAAGAAGGCGATATATGAATGTTGTGGTCCATAAGGAGCGACATCCTCAGCTTAGAGAGTACATTCACTCTGCTGTCACTGGACTACTCCCATTTGTCCATAAGGTTTCCACTGTCACTTGTTTCTTCTATTTATCAGATTACCAGGTTATTTAATGATGATTAATGTGTTGTTTTTGAGTACCAATTGTAATTCTTACACATGCAAGTGCTTGAATGCCTCGTGGAAATGTATACCACAAGTAATACTTGAAAAGGGGAAGCCTTTTAGATACATGTAGTGAGTTCCAGCTGTCTATGGTCCAAATCGCATGTAGACTGATGCAGTGATGCTATAAATCTTATCTGCAGTTCTATCTGCGTGTGTGTATTTGTACAGGAGGGGTTAAGGTGGTTTTTGAGTTTACACTCTTTGGTGGTGGAGTGGCTACCAACATATGGATGGTTATGGACATATTAATGCTGTGGAAAACAAGAAAGAATCATTGTGTTTTGAAATATATAGAGGCATGAAGGCGTGCACTTGATTCAAGGACCCCTGTTTTGTTAAAGCTGTGAATAAGTGTTATGTCGAGAACATAATTCATTTGCAATGGTGCTACCAAAACCTATGTTCATATTGATTCCTTGAAACCATGGGATTTGCTCTACCGCATAAAATTTCGCACTAATCTTATTTCTATGTGCAACAATACACTTGACTTCTCGTCCTCACACCTTCTAAATTCATAAACCGTTTTCCAAACATTGATTTTCTTATGCAGATCAATGCTATTGACCCCAAAGAAATTCTCATCAGCAAAATTTTTCACGACTATCTCTTCTTTTAAAATTGATGTAAGAAGACTACTCAACCAGTGTCGTTGAATGCTCAAGTTACAAAAAATAGAAGCTTCATTATCATTTTTAACTTTAATTTAAGGATGGATAACTTTGACTTTTGAGTTCAGCGTCAACTGTCGTTACAGGGAAAAATGTACTGTCTTTGAAGGGCATAGAATAGGATCATTGCTGGACAAAGACCCTATTCGGTGTTAGATTTTTTCAATTCTATGAATTCCAGCAGGATCTTACTATAAGTCTCTGTTAATACATGATTGGCAATCCAGAATTAAAGAAACTCGAAAATGTAATAGAATCCTAATCTGATCATTCTCAATCGAATGAGTGTATATAAATTATGTTCCTCTTTCCATCTTAGCAAATTTTTGTGATGTCAATGTTGAGATTTTCGTAGTTGTTTTTGATATCTCACTATGACGCTCAATTGAATTATGATACAAATTTTGATAACAAACCAATCTTAATCAACTTTTTCATTTTCATATACCAAAGAGTTTCTTTATTTTATTTTATTTTTTTGTACAATAGCCAAATCAACATCTTTCTTTTTACCGGTGGTGGCGGGAGTATATTTGCTAGACTAAAAACACTTGAGATAATGTTAATTAAATCTAATTTATTGATTTAATTTGTTAATTCAATTAGTCACTGTCATTGGATTGCGGTCGATCCTACTGGTTAGGATCAACTACTAATACAATGAATTAAGTCCGAATAGTACTATTGTGAAATAAGTAATATTATTCTATTTTTCTATAATTTTAAAATCAAATGCTTTGTTTATTTCTCTGCACTTAATTGTTTCATATCCTTTGAAATCATGAATATTTAAAAATCACGTCCAAACAATTTAATAAATAAATCGACGATTAACATAAAAGTATAATTCAAAAAAATTTATGTGTAACGCACATGAATTAGTACAGTACAAATAGATATAATTAACACACACAAAACCAGGACTAGTGTAACAGAATATTTAAAGCACAACTCTACGTATGCATCTGACAAACATACACATGCATGTCTGGTCCATGACTGAGATTAAAAATGTTGATTGCAACGTAATTTTATTAAATTGTCTATCATATATTTTAGAAAAAATTTTATCCACACTCCTTATAAATAGGTATATCTTCAATGAGATTTTCTCGCTTTTCTAAATTTTTTTTATGAATTAAAATTCAGGCCGACTAAAATTTGATTCGAACTAATTAAAATTTATTTTTTACGTATTAAAATTTAAGTCAATTAAAAATTATATTTTTTTATGTATTAAAATTTGAGTTGATTAAATTTTTTTTTTTAGGGGGAGGGAGAAGGGGAATGGAGAGGGGGATTTGACCATTTTATCTCAAGAAGGTAAAGCCTTTATAAAACAAAGAGTACCATTGAATAAAAAACTCATTGAAGGCGATTAAAATTCTATTTGAACCAATTAAAATTCATTTTTAATCAATTCACATTGTTTTTAATCGTGTTGATTTTTGATACATGCAAAAAATATAAATTTTAATGCGTAAAAAATAAATTTTAATTGATAGGAATTTTAATAAGTAAAAAAAAATAAATTTTAATCGACTCGAAGTGAATTTTAATCAGTTCTAACAATTCACGTAAAGCTTAAATTGGCACGGATTTTAATACATAAAAAAGGATTTTTAATAGGCTCGAATTTTAATATGTAAAAAAATAAAATTTAATCAGCTCAAATCAAATTTTAATCAGCTCAAATTTTAATATTTAGAAAAATAAATTTTAATCAACTTAAATCAAATTTTAATTGACTCACATTTTAATATGTAGAAAAGTATATTTTAATAAACTCGAATTTTAATATGTAAAAAAATAAATTATAATCAGTTCAAATTTTAATTGAATTTTATATAGAAAGATTGTTTGGCACTTATATAGGGGCAATTTTTGTATTTTAGATGATTTTTTTTGTTAGAAATTATGGTTTAATAGCAAGGGATGTCAATGATGTTTTGAATAACAAAAAGAATATCCTTGAAGATATTATAAATTAAAAAGAGTCTAATTGAATTTTTTTGAAAAAATTATGAGGATTTGGTGAGCTGCGTGGCTCACTTGGTGTGCACGTGGGTTCAAGCATTAGCGATAGGGTGTCAATCGTGTCGTGTCCCTTTTGGTCATGTTATTTTCATGACGTGTCAGATTCAGTATGTGTTGAATTCGTGTCAATATTCATGTTAATAAAAAATTATTTAATTCGATAACAACTCATATAATTCTATTTAAAAAATTATAAAAATCTTATTTTCTATCTATAATACTAGTTAAATAATTATTTTCTATCTACAGTACCCGTTAATCATGTTATTCGGGTTGAACCTTATTTTGACCCATTTATTACTCGCGTCAACTAATCGTGTTATTTTTGAGTTTTGTGTCGGATTGAATTCGTGTTAACGGATAAAATTGACACTCCTAATTAACGAGCTTTTTGAATTTCAATGTGGACCATTTAATTAAAAATAATTTTATGGATACCAATAATATGCACTAAGGCATTTATAATTGTCAGATTAGTGGGTCTCATTTATTGATTCAACGGTTGCAAATAATTTATGCACATAATTTTATCCTTTAATTAATAGATCACACTACATATATTATATACCAAATAATTATGATTATGTCATGTTGAGTGATAAAAGTTGAAAAATACTATTGGATTTAAAATGGGAATCTAATCTGAGATTTAAATTAATTGAACCATTAGATTAAAGTTGAACCTATATAACATTGAAACTCACAATTAATATAATAGTTGTATTGAATGTCCAATAATACTCCTTATCTTATAAATGTTTTGTATTCTTGAGGTCAAGGGTTCAAGGCTCCCCCTCTCCTCTCCCCAACAAAAAAAAATATATATAACATTACTTGTTTATTTGCATCAATTTGACATGAAATCAAGACTAAATTAGTGAATGGGTATGCCTTAGTTTTTAAGTTTTCAGATCATAACCAAATCTGCCAATCTGGCCCATTTATGTCTATGATTCAATATGAACTGGAATCGGCCTATCAGACTTATTTAATGGCATGGTTCAATAATAACTCCATTACACATAACATGAGTCTGATCATACACAGTATATACAACAATATAAACATAAGGGCATGTTTGCTTTGTGGAGTAGGTTGGATGGGATTGGAGTATCATTTTCAATCCAGTCCACCCCCATGTTGTGTTGGAAGGCATTAGTGATTTTTCATTTTTTATCCTTGGTCTTGTTTATTTACATAGCTTTTAGGTTTACAAAAAAGAATCACATTAATGGCGTCCATTTATAAGGATGTCTTTTCATTTAGGATAATTTTATGTGTATCCAATTTGTGCACCCAAATTTACATTAAATCAACTACAGTCATTGGATCACTGATGAAACCCGTTGATCTAATGTCTGCAAGTGATTTAATACAAGTTTTGGTGTACATAATATTACACTTTCATTTATATATGACAAAAGTTTGAGAAAGTCATTTTAATCTTTGAGTAACTTGTACAACCCACAAGATTTTTATACCATTTATACAGTAGTATTAAATAGCATCACGTAGATGGGTTAGGAGCAAGTATTCACCTTAGGCCCAATATTCAACGACCTCGTTATAAAGCAAGCCATAAAAGCAAAATAAACAAAATATAAAGTTGGATCCGGATTGCTTCTACTTTATTCAGAGCATTCTACCATCCAAAACATTGAAGCAAACATGGCCCAAGGGATTGTTTGGTAACGGGGTATGGGCACTTGACAAGAAGAATTTGGAAAAAATAGTTAAAAGAATCTTCAAATTTTATATTTAAATTAAAAATTCAATTCTGAATTTTCAAACTCGATCCGTAGCTAGCCCGAATATTAAACATAAGTATAAATTTGATTGATTAAGAAAAAAATAATATTTATAAGGTAAATAGTTGTTAATAATTATGATATATTTATAAGTCATATATATGTATATTTTGCATACCAAATATAAATATGAATTAAATTTAATGATAAATTTTTTCTTTATAAACAGGAGTTTGAATTTAAAAGAATTTAAAAAAATCAATTCAAACACTCCCTAAAATTCTGGGATTTATTCCCCACCCAACTCTTACCCACCGGTCCCCTAGTCAAATTCCATGAAATTTCCCATCTCCTTCTTACCATTTTCATTCTCTTTACCTTACTTTCAATCAACCACTATATAATTAAAGCAGAGAGAAATTTCAAAGTTGAAAGCCTGCAAGTGATGGCAAAAAGCTGCATAATCAATCAGAAATGGCCGTCAATGTCTGTAGTAACTACCCACCCTTCAATTTTCTCTAATAGTTCAATTGGATTCAATCACTTTTTCCAGGAAATTTCTCTGATTTTTCCATGAAACTTCTGTGAAGAGCCCATGTTCTTTATGCTGCTGATATAGGTATTTTTCAATTATTTTGATTTTTTTTTCTTTATCTCAGGCAAGCTTTGAATGAGAAAAGCAAGAACTATACCAGATGAATCATATATAGAAGCTATTCACATACAGTTTTTCTTTGTCAAAATGGCTGGCATGCTTGCGGGGGTTGAATGTGCTAGAAGAAGACGATTTCATCAGAGCGGTGCTTTTTCAGATTTTCCTACTACGTCTGCAGCACATGCCTCCTCAAGGCGGTCATCTTTTTGTTTGTACACAACCAACCATGAATTCCATCTCACCTCATTTTCTTCCATGGTATTATATAACAAACCACATCTCTCTCTCTCTCTCTACATAGATCTACATATATGTGAATGTGTGTTACTAAAATTTATTTGAATGTTACGAACAGCAAAGAATCACACTGAACCGGGAATCTCTGAATGAGAAACTAGCAGAAGTGGCTAGAGAAGCCAAAGAAAGGTTAGATGAGAGGCTAAAAGAACAAAGGAAATCAGAAACCAAAAGGTAAGTGCGAATTTTTTTTCTCCTTTGTGTTGCTTTGCCAAACGCATTTAGTAGAGTTGGTAATGGATCATGTCGTATATGTTATGTACAAGTTGCATAAATTGTCGTATCAAAATTTGCATCTCTCTCCCAAACGGGTAACTAGATTTATGTTAATCTATTTTTCAAACGGGTAAAACAAATCAAACCCGTTTATGATTATTACAGTCAAGAAAAACAATTACCAAATCGTGTTAACAATCTTCATTAATTTTAGAAACCCTTCCTACCATTGGCCTCTTTGATTTTTTTTTTTTTAAATTATGAGAGAATATAAATAATGAACACTGGAATTGATCATCTTATCATCTTATATTTACTACCAGTTCAAAAAAAATAAACTAATAATTACTGATTTTCAGTCATGATTTGAGTTCAGGACTAACAGACAAGAGAGATTAAGGGGTGGGGAGGGCAGGTCTATGGTGCTAGGGGATTTGAAAATAGAGGTGTTTGGAGTGAAGAAGAGAGGGTTGAAGAGTTTCAGTTGGGCAAAGTTTGGGCAGAAAAAGAAGGCCTTGGACCAAGAGGAGTGCGCAGTGTGCTTGGAGCAGTTCAAGGTGAGCGAGACCCTGGTGCGTTTGCCCTGCTCTCATCGGTTCCATTCAAGTTGTTTGGTTCCATGGCTAGAGAACAATGCTTGCTGCCCTTGTTGCAGAATGGAGATTTTGGATTTAAAAAGTTGATTGATTTTCTTTGTTTTTCTTCACTTTGTAGATACCCTACGATCCGAACGTACTTCTTGAAAAAAAAAAAAGGTCAATTCATTAGTCTCTCATCACGTTTGGGAGGGTGAGGTGTACGGTTTTTATCGAGACTATTTCTATGATTTAAATTTGTATCGTTCATAATACCATTAATTAATTAATTTTTTTTTGTGCACCAAGGTCTTGTCTCTTAACGGGCCACTTACAAATAGACTGAAAGTTGTAATGTTTAAAGAATGAAATAGAATAATTTTTTCTTTTCTTTTTGTTGGGGGAGGGGTTGGGTTGAGTTGTATTTCTTTAAACAGGCAAGAGAGTTTTCATGCAAGAATATTAAGGAAAGGACAAGGTTAAAGCTCCATTGAATACTCCAAATTAAGAAATACGTCAAGGCAATTAATGGAATAATTGAAGAACCCAAATTGTAGTGGGATTATTTGGCTTTTGTAAATTTTTAGGAAGAAATATGGAGATACGTAAGGTTGATAATTGAGCTGAGTTGAATTTTACGAGTTTAAGTCGAGTCTGTCTTTTTAAATAAGTCGAGCCTAAATCGAGTTTAAACGAGCCGAATTTAAATAACTTGACTATTTTTATTATATAAATGAACTTTTTAGGATTATTTTTTTAAATGAATTTAAAAAATTATTCAATCTCAACTTGTTTAAAAAATAAAAAAAGTGTAAATTGAACTCAAAACGAGCTGACCTTGACCCAAGTCCGAGCACGAGTAATTCGACTCAATTATCAGTTCTAGAGCTATGACGAAAATAATATTTTTTGACTACAAAAAAGTGAAAAAAAAAAACCAAAAGGTGTTAAGTTTTATACAAAAAAAAAATGGTAACTAAATCCAAAAAACACAAATGCACCTCAAAAATCAGTAAGCTGGTAAAATACCTAAAGAGGTTATTAGTATACAATACCATTTTTTTTTGGTACAGTAGACAAACCTCCTTTCAAGTGCACCAAATACTACTGTGTATCAATTTCTGGTGCCCACAGTGCAGTTTGATTTGAATAAATAGAAGGAAGAAGTTTCCCCCCATTTGAAAAAAAATCTAATTTTTACCATTTAAATTATCCAACCATACTGCTAGGCCCCAAAAGTAGGACTTGTGAGTGAGTCTAATGTTTTCAAAATGGGTGATTAAAATTGTGGGAAAAAAAATTGAATAAAAGGGATTTGATTTATTCAAGTGATCGGGAATCATGTTCCCATATAAGCTTTGGAGGCAAATCTCACTAACCCCCTATAGAGGAAATATTCAGATGGACGTGGACATACCAGAAAGCTCAACGGAGAGAACAGGTGAGGAGGAAGACTACTTGGAACGAAGCACCAACAAGGTAAAAGATGGAACAACCACAGTGGGCCGGGAAATGGGGGTTTTCAAGAGGCAGTGGCCAACAGAAAAATGGCATCCTATAGATATTCAGTGCTCACCCATCCCACAGGATAGGATGTAAGATATGTTAAGGATTACAACGAGGAGGAGGAGGAGGAGGATACGCCAGCAAGGGTACACATTCGATTATCTAAAGAAGAGAAAAGAAGGATTAGGGCACCATGGTATATGGAAGGGGAAGACGATTCTCTTCCGACGTGGAATTAACTTAAGAAAGGTCCTATTGGCGAAGAGAAGTAAAAGACTACTAGGGTTCGGTGTCGCCAGGTCAGCCGGAATCCTTCAAGTGGAGGGACGAGATCCGTAGCGATTTCTACCCCTTACAAAAAGGTAGCAGAAGTAATGAAGGAAAAAACCAAAGGATCAGGAATGGATATGATGGAAGCAGAACAGGTGGTAAGAAATCCCGAGGAAGAGATAAGCTCACAACAATCAGTTGAGAAGGAGAAAGAAAGGAATGATGGAAAACCAAAGAAGCCACTCTTCAGGTTTCCCCCAGATTATGAATCCATTAGAGGCACCATTCCCATGGATACTCAAGATCAGGAACCAGGAGATACTAATGGACCAAGGCACGATCAGATCGTTGATCTAGGATCCCAACCACCTGTGGGGTTGGTACGACCCAGAAACAAGGAGGGCTTAGGAAGAGATACTGGAACTAAACAAGGACTGGATGGACAAAGCAAGGAGATGGATCTCGAGGGGACAACAGTAGACAGGGGAATGGAATCTTGGACCTCTCAACTAGGAAGTGGATCAAGTGATAAAGAAAGAGGTAGAAAAGTTGGGAAGATTAACAGAGGCAGTCCAGCTAGGAGACTCTCTAATAGAAAGCAAGATACTAGGGCACGTAGACAAAGTACTCTTGGTTTACAGTCCAAAGGGACTTCAAAAAATGTGCGTACTCGTCAAGGGTTCTCTGATGTGGGGGTCTGGAGAGGGTGTACAAATTGGAAATAGGCTCCAATTGGAACTCAAAGAAGAAGGGGGAAATAGATCCAACCGAGAGGGAGACAACACTGAAATCAGATAGGGCAAAGCAAGTGAGGCCCAGGATAGGCCAAACCCATGCGATGTCTGAAATGAAAGTCCTTTATTGGAATTGTCATGGTGCCCAGCATATGGGGTTTAAAGGAACACTTATGGACATGATCAGAACCCACCATCCAACTATGGTGAATTTGTCCGAAACAAGGGGTAGAAGGTGTGAGAGCAGCTGATATCAGCATATCATTCCAACTGGATGGTGTTTATAGGGTTAATCCAATTGGCTACATGGGGGGAATCTGGATGCTGTGGAATACACAGGAGGTACAGCTGACTATACTTTAGAAGACGGAGCAGGAGATTCATGCCTGCTTTGAGGTGACTTCCTTTCCTCCCTGTATTATTTCTGCTACTTATGCTAGTCCTATTCTGGAATGCAGGAAAATTTTGAGGGAAAACCTTAAAACTATATAAGCAAAGTCACTCCCATGGCTTATTATTGGGGACTTTAACGAGATTCTTGAATCCAATGGTAAGATGGGAGGATTACCTGTTAATCATAAGAAAGCTTGTATAAAGAATGTATGGATCATTGCAATATGATGGACCTAGGCTTTTTGGGACCGAGGTTCACTTGGACCAATACTAGGGGGCCTAATGGATTGGTAATGCAAAGAATTGATTAGGCGTGGTGTAATCCAGAATGTTTGGACATCTACCCAAACACCACAGTAACCCATTTACCCAGCTGACTCTTATCACTGCCCACTGCTATTAAACATTGAAAACCAACACCAAATACAGGAGAAACCCTTTTGGTTCAAAACCATTTGGCTTGGTCCCAAGGACTTAGATGGTCTGATCCAAAATTGTTGGCAAAATGGGGAATCCTTACACAAATCATTAGGGAAACTTGCTAAGGTCTTGAAGGAGTGGAATAAAAATGATTTTGGAAATATTTTTAAAAGAAAGAGAAGTGTCTTGGCCAGGCTATCAGGAAAACAAAAACAAATCTATTTGAGCCCTAATCCCTTTTTGATGGACCTTGAGTGTAATCTAAGGAGAGAGTATCACAGAATTTTAAGGCTGGAGGAGGAATTCTGGGCACTCAAATCAAGAGTGGAATGGCTAGAAGCAGGAGATAGAAACACTCAATTTTTCCATACATCTACATTAGCAAGAAGGAAGAATAAAATTTTAGCACTAATGAATGGAATGGGTGAATTGGTCACAGAACAGTGGGATATTAGGAGGATGGTGACTGAAAATTTTAGGAATATTTTTGCACCACAGAATGAGCATAGGGAAATTCAAGATGATTTTTTTTGGCCTGTGATAAATTTCATTAATGAAAATGACATAGGCAACCTCATAAGAACTCCTGAGATGACTGAGATTAAAAATGTTGTATGGCACTTGAAACCCAGGAAGGCCCCTGGGCCGGATGGGTTTCATGTTGTTTTCTACCAGAAACAGTGGAGTATAGTAGGACAAGGAGTCAAAAGGCTCACTGAGCAAGTTTTTGAATAAGAGTCAATCAATGTTGATATTACCAAAACCCTTGTGTGTCTCATCCCAAAGATCCAGAATCCACAGAGCCTGAAACAGTATAGATCCATCAGTCTATGTAACACAGCTTACAAAGTATTGGTCAAAATTCTTGTCAATAGATTGAGGCCCTTACTGAGTGGGCTAATTCATCTATTGCAAGCCAGTTTTGTTCTGGGGAGGCAAGCAATTGATAATATAATCATTGCACAGGAAATTTTCCACACCATGACCAAAAAGAAAGGTAAAAATGGTACTATGGCCATTAAAATTGATCTTGAAAAAGCCTATGGCAAACTGCAATGGAGTTTCCTTGAAAAAGTCTCAGAAGAAGTCAACTGTCCCCAAAAAATTAGGAATATCATCATGGCATGTGTTAGATCAACACAGTTTGCTGTGCTTTTGAATGGAAGCCCTATCGAGTGGACTAAAGCTCAAAGAGGGGTAAGACAAGGTGACCCCTTGTCTCCCTACCTGTTAAATTTGTGCATGAACATTCTATCTTACTCGATTGAAAGGGTTATGGAAGAGGGTCTCTGGAAACCCTTTCAAGTAGGTAGAGGGGGAGTCAAAATTTCATATGTGATGTTTGCAGATGACCTCCTCTTGTTTGGAGAGACATCTGATGAGAACTACCATTGTATTAAAGAGACACTTGAGGCATTTTGTAGAAGATCAGGGCAAAGCATAAGTGACCAAAAGTCTAGAGTGTATTTCTCACCTAATTGTGGTCCAGAGGATGTCCAAAGATGGACTGAGATCTTAGGGATTCCTGCTACAAATGACCTAGGAAAGTATCTAGGTGTACCCCTGCTCCATAAAAAACCCACATCCAGAAACTTCCAATACCTTATTGAAAAAGTTAGGAACAAACTGAGTGGGTGGAAAGCCAAACTTCTTTCACTTCCAGGAAGGGCAACCTTGATTAACTCTGCGACTTCTGCCATTCCACAATACTATATGCAAACCATGAAAATTCCAAAAAAAAGTGTGAGGAGCTTAGTAAAATGAATAGTAACTTTCTGTGGGGGTCAACTGATGAAAGAAGGAAAATGCCTCTTGTTAATTGGGGACAGGTGACTAAACCCAAAAAATCAGGGGGATTGGGACTCAAACAAGTGGGGTTGAGGATTAAGGTAGCCCACTTCCAAGGGGAGAAGAGTGTTAAAATATAAGACATAAGCTTAATCAGGGAGGGGGATGGGATTTTGAGAGTATGACATATCCTATACCACACGAAATAATTGAAATAATTAAAGCCACACCTATCCAGATTCACCTTGAGGGGCAGGATACATGGGCATGGGGACCTATGGCCTTAGGGATGTTTGAATCTAAGTCAGCATATGTGCTAGCACAAGATAATCCAAGTGAGTTTAAAACTGTGGCACAATGGAGTTGGATTTGGAAAACATTAACGGGCCCAAGGATACGACACTTTTTTTGGATAGCTTGTCAAAACAGGCCAGCAACCAAAAGTGTGATGTATACCTGTAAAGTTGTAAAGGACCAGACATGCCCAATTTGCCAACAAGAAATAGAGGACACCAGCCATGTTCTGATGAAATGTGACCTTGCCAAAGGGATTTGGATTAAACTGGGGTTCCCAGCTACTCTCCTCCATACCTTCGATGAGTCACTGGGAACATGGATGAAAGTAAATGGGAAATCTAAATATTACATGGACAACTCTTTTCCTTTACACTAGTGCCGGTATATGGTAGCATCGAAACCAGTGGGTGTTTTACAATAAAACAACACCTACAGGGAAAATCACTCAACAATCCTTAGGTAGAGCGGCTGAATATTATCACCTCTACAGTCATAACACCAGACCCTTAAGATCTGAAGCATTACTTGGTTGGAAGCCCCCGTCAGCTAGTTGGGTTAAATTGAACACGGATGGTGTAGCCCAAGGAAACCCGGGACCTGCTGGGGCAGGAGTTATCCGTAATAACACAGGAAGGCTGGTGGTGGGTTTTTACGAGAAAATTGAGATAACTACGAGCTTGGCTGTTGAATTGTGGGCTTTAAGAAGGGGGCTAAGTACTGCAATACAGGATGGAATACAAAAGCCAGAAGTGAGTGTGGATACTAGACTGGTCCTTGAGCTGGTGTAAAATTAAGATACACAACATCACATTTATAGCCCTTTAATTAATGACTGCTGGTGGCTGCTAAGACAATTCCAAGAGACCAATTTGAATCAGGAAATAAGGGAAACTAATAGGAGTGCTGATTTGCTTGCAAAGATGGGTGTTCAGTCTAGAGAAGGATGCCATGTTTTTGTTAATGCTATTGACGGTGTTGAAGAACAACTTAATGCGGATGCTATGTGTGTCTGTTACCCAAGACTGATGTGTATTACTTAATGCTTTTTTATGGCCCTTTTACCCAAAAAAAAAGAAGAGGTAGACTCACTCCTATAATAGAATTTGTTCCTAATAATTTAATATAATTTGTTAAATTAACGTATTATTTTGATTATATGCACGAACAATAGGTCACCCTCTTAGATATGATTCACTTTCAATCCAATGAAACTAATGAATTACGTCAGATTAGATTATTAGGTCTAATAGAATCTCTCTTTTTTCTTCTCTTGCCAATTAGAAAAGATTAATAGCTTAGATCTATTGTTGTACATACAAAATCAAACAAAAAAAATAAGAAAATTTTCAAATTAGGAGTTTATGAATGTCATATCAAAATTCACAACTCAATGAACCCAATTCTCCAAATCAAATTTGACATGCATGATTATCCATTAAAGGTTTATCTTGTAAGAACGTTCACCAACTTTTGGGTATTAGACATTTTATTTTTTGGTTTAATAGTCAGGGGTGTCTGAGTCAGTTTACGTGCACTTCGACTAATCATCTCTTTGGTCTAGTCAAAGGTAGGTCATTCACGCTGGGATTAGGGTATTCATGAGAAATAAATTCTTCATGGTTTAATCTCAAATATTTGTCAAAATTCAAACTCGGGACGTATAGATTTACAACTCGTCCCTATTACCACTTGACCTAGCCCTTGGGGTTTCCTTCACTAATTTTACTTGTATAAGGGAGATGCCATACATTTCTTCTCTTGTTTTTTTTTTATTGGGTTCTGAAATGCCAGATTACAACCATATTACTCCTTGATTTAATTATAAAATAGTGAAAGGTCTAGTAAACTTTTTTTGGTAGAAGGTGCCTTTCATCTTACTTTAGCTGTGCTGTGTCCATTTTGATGGCTTGGTGTCTTTCATTTCTCCACAAATCCCGGATTACCAGATCAGATGTCACTCACTTTTATTCAATCCGATCCTTATTCAAATACTAAAAGAATTATTTTTTCCTGAACCTTGTAGTCTTGTATTACTTATTATGTTCCTAAATCTTGTTTAAGCTTTAGCATTTGGAAATTCCAGTCCCACTTTA